ACTCGCTGAGCTTCCGCGATGCTGTAGGTAGTCCTACTAGCGTTGTGATTGAAGACCAACAGCCAATCACAATGGACCTTCTTTAGTTCTCTGATTGGTTGGTTTTGTGGCACAAATGTAACGCTGCTGCAAGTCGAGCGAGCGCAGAGCGAATAGGTGGAGAGAGCGCAGCAACGGCTGCCTGCGCGCAGAAAACCAGTTTGTGGAGAGGGCACCTGAGTAAACTGCGCGCACGGAATATGTTTTTCTTTGCTAAAATATAGTTCTCCGTGCTCAAAATTTAAAATTACGCGCTCAGGATGGTGGCACAATGGTGGGGGGCCCAAATATGTTCAATGAAATAATCAATCCCAGATTACATTAGTGAGCACGTATATGATGGAATATTTCCTACACTGAATATTTCAGTAAAAGAGACTTGTATAATTGTCTAAAATTTTATTCATTTCAAGTCACATCTACAAATACTTTTATCCGGCCAATTTAAGGTAATAGTAATAATAAATACCTGTTGAGTAATTCCACAACGTGTACTTGAAAAAGCAGACATTTTAATAACTGGACAATTACAACGGTTGTTTTAATATCAGACAACACACAATCCTTAAAGAGAACAAGAATCGCTGAAATTGCTAAAATTTGATTATTGAAAGCGTTGGCAACGAATTTCATTATCGATTCGTTGTGTCGGTTCAAAGAAAGACGCAGAATGCTTTTGTCTGCATATATTTCTATTTCTATTGCATCAATGTAATTTCATTTAATATTGCACTTTTTGTATATATTGTGGATGTAGTAAAATTACCTGTTCACTGTTTATGTGTTTTGTGTTATTGACGGGAAATACGAGCCACTAGATTGCTGTGTTATTTTTCAATGGTCACGCGTTGACGATCTCCTAAATGCGTGTACAACGTACAAGGTTTGGGGATTGGTCATTTCATTGAACATATTTGGCTTCACCCAGCCACCTAGCTGACCGGCCGGCGCCCGACCCACCACCTTGCCAGTCGGTCAGCTAGGCGGCCAAGCCAGCAAACTTACATTGCTAAGTTGAATAAACAGGTACTATACGGTCATGTGAACTTAGAGAGATCAGTCCAGAGCTGAGTTAAACACAACATTACGAGTTGTACCAAATTGTAAATCCAATTTGATTTTTCTCAAAAGTCTCCAACATTTGGTGGCAGAATACGTGTATTTTAACCATTTATTTAATTATATTAAACTGTTTCTTTTATTTAGCCAGGTTAGTACAGATGTATTTAATGCAGTTCATTTTATGTGATTTTTATGGTTCATTTGCAACCATTGTTGCATAATCTTGTTATATTTATTTTAGGGAAGAGGGAACACGTGTTTATTAAGCAGTACGTAATGAGAGTTTATGAATACAGACGTTTGTTTTCATTAATTGTGGTTTATTTGTCACACTTCCATCCAAAATGGAACGGTTAGGCCCAAGAGGTCAAAGGGCCCTGATGATAAGAAATAATGTTGGTCAAATGCTGCGGTATAAGGAAAATGACTTGTATGGCTTCATGGCATTCAGACATTTTGACTGTAGAATATTTGACATGTTTCTCACTAGGCAAGAACAATTAAGAAATTGATTGATTCTCTTTTCTCCGTTGCCTCCATGTAATATTTCACGTGACCCTCAGAGTGAATCACCTGTTCACTATTCATGCGATTGACAGGGAACACTGCCATGACATTTTTGAGAATTGTCATAACTACATGTACAAGGTTTTAAGTAATTGATATAGTACAAAAGGTTTTCTTTTGATTTGAAGATTTTTGGTTTCAGTCACGGTTTGCCCCCATTGCATTGTGGGTAATGACGAAAATGAACAAAAGTGTAATCCTATTCATATGAGTATAAGAAATGAACGTGTTCACTAGTGGAATTTGGGATTGATTATTTCATTAAACATATTTGCCCTCCCACCACCCACCGAAATTTGGCTCTCACCCAAATCTCATAAAATTTGGCAACCCAATTTTGAATTTTGGCACTCACACACCGAATCTTCAATTTGGGACCGAATCTTTGCGGCCAGACCAGCTCGCGACAGCCTCCTGGCTGCAGGGCCAGGAGGCTGGCCGCGAGCTGGTCAGCCGACTTCCACATGCCTTATGTTTGGACTCGGGGCCTATAACTAAACGTCCCAGTGACGTTTGGTGAGGTCAGTAAGTGTCATATCGCCGCTAATTATAGTGGGACACGTCATTACCCACAATGCAATGGGGTGGGGGCGGTGATGTTTAGAACTAGATCTCAAGATTCTTACAGCTTGTAGTAGGACCACCATTTACGCTGCGTTTTGATACAGCTGCAGCGGTCGGTTGAGTTGGTCCATCAGTAGGTGGGCTTGATCCGGATGATCCTGCACCTCGCTGTCCAGCACCACCAGGCGGCTGTGACATGCATCCAGCCAGACCGTCAGCGCCGCCCCCTCGCCGGGTACCGGTCGCCGGTCGGACCGTCAGCACCACACTTCAATATTAACCCCGAAGTTTAGTTTCTGACTCACCGATCAGTCGATTATTTGTACGTAAAATCCACCCGCCGCTGTTTCCTCGTGAAGACGTCGATCGCAGCGGTGTAAACTCGTCTCAGATCGGTGATATCGTTGAACACCGCCGTCATATTGACTTTGAATTTCGCGGGGATTAGCCTTACAACGTGGCTGGCGTAGTGACGTCACCGCGCAAATGTCCAGCAATATCTCGATTTTAATTGGTCCATGTGAAACGTAACGCAGATGCTTACTTGTATAACTTGCAAAGGTACAGCAGAGTTGTAATTTTCGCCGTAACCCTATGAGTGACTAATAATTGGCGCTATAAACACATAAAGTGTTCTCTTATAGTGTGAGGCACTTAAACAAACAGAAAAAAAAAAATCGAATCCAGTCGGCCAATGAGGAAGTAATACAAGTTTTGAGAATCTGCATCTATCCACCATATTATATTCAACTATATGATGAAACACCATCGGGTTTGAGTTCACCGCGATGTTAAAACACTCAGTGCCTTTGTGTTACACAAGGAAATAAGTACCGGGAATACCGGGTCTCTGTATAAGCATGACGACGAGTCATATGTGCAAGTATTTACTCAGATACATCAGACATCTTTCCTCCAAGATTCACATGTTGCATGTAATATATTTCCACAAATACAAGTTGAAGAAGTCTAAAGGAAAGGATACGAATTCTTGAAAACAGCACATCGTTCAGTACAACATATTATCATTCTACACTGTGCACAGACCACAACTGATTTGAATAGCATTTAGTAATAAATCATTTTAAAAAATTGTAGCCAAATGTTTTTTAGTGATAGGGATTCTGTTAAGGTCTCAAACAGACAACTCTGGTCAAATGCTATTCTTGTATGGTCAGTTAACGATTCGCTTCATTGAAGCTGCAATAAAACAAAGGAAAGAAGCGTGAACTTGCATGCAAAACCCTCAATTGTCCCCTTTTAAGTAAGAGGTGGATGGGGAACCTTACTGGACTCTGACAAAACGGCAAGAAAAGGAACACCAAGTACATATCTTCAAAGAGGGCAGGGGGAGGGCATTTCAGACCAGAATATCACTGTGGACTTTTCATAGTTCTACAAACATATAATGTTTTGAAAAACCTGGTATGTACAATGCAATGAGCAGTTTTTAAACTCGTTGTGCTATATATTTTCATAGACACAGATAACATGAAAAAGCTCATCATCTTGCAACAGGAAAGTTGAATATCTTGTGCGGTCTTACGTAGATGATATTGCAAGCTGCAAAATGTATTTACTTACCCGATAAATAATATTGTCTGGATATATTTAGAATCCTTTCATTTCCTTAAATGGAGTAATTGAACGTGCAATTAGAACAAAAAAAAACAAAAATAAGAAACGTGAGCATTTTTTAACAGAACGACGCTCCAGTGTGTGAGCTCTTTTCACAATGCACGTAGCACCCTCTTGTGGCCGAGTTCTCACACTACATCTAACGCATTGACCAATAGAAAAGGCGGTGGCTGCAGCTCAATGTTTTCACTTTATTTCAACTAACGACAAAAAGAAACGTTTTGCTTTTACTAAATACCTACAACTTACTGCTCACTCATTTTTTAAGTTCACTTAAATTAAACAAACTAATTACTTTATTGTTACCTAATAAAGGCAAAGACACCACAACAATATACTTTAAAAGAACACTCACTGGGTTTATTCAGCTGCATTACAACATTTATTTAAAAAAAAAAATTGCATAATTTACAAATCGAGTCTGAATAATAAACATTTGACATTGTTATTACTTCTGATTCCAATTCTCCAATATAAAACATGTGTTTTATTACTCACGTAATAACCTTACAATAATCAATAAAATGACTGTTCTCCATCCTCTTGTCATATTCGATGTAAAAGCGAATTGTACAATCAGGCATCGATGAGAATTACATTCGTGAACACGTGACATTTCAAAATTAACAGAACAATCTATTGGCTCGTATTTCCCCTTCAACAACACAAAAAACACGTCAGTAACGTTCGGGGAGGTCAGGTCAGGTCAGGTGAACTCTGAATGACCTTATTCTCCTGACACCACGTTCCGCGTTCCAGTGACGTTTGGTGAGGTCAGTAAGTGACATATCGCCGCTAGTTATAGGGAAAACGTCATTACCCACAATGCAATGTGGGCAGCGTTTGGTCCATTTCAGACCCAATAACGTGAAAAATAAACAATTTAATACGACTAAAAACGTTGGAAAACAATGTATGGGACGTTACCAAGCCATGGACATCAAAAAAAAAAAAAGAACCCGAGCCAGAAAAATCGGCAAACCGTGCCAACCATGAGTGAAACTCCTGGTCGAGATATAGATGTCTAGCTCGAGAAATTCCAAACAGCAGTAGCCAAGCGTTCCTTGGACCTAGGGCGCCTGCCATGACGGCAGTGTGGTACATTGGACGTCGGCGCGGGCTGTGGCTCCTAGTTGGCCTGTAGGCAAGGTGGTGGGTGGGACGCCTCTTGTCAGCTAGGGGTCCTAGACAGCGGCCTGTTCTGATGTCTGACTGTGCCACTGGCGGCAGGCCTATTGGTCAGCCTGGAGGTGGGGGGCCCCACCCCACAACTAAACATGTTCAATGAAATGTCCGACGCACGGACGCATTATTGCGTCTCGGGCCGCTCCGAAAATGGTATTCAAACGAGTGTTACAGTTTCAGCTGGTGTTGATGATGATTCGTTCTACCGTATTAGTAATAGTGTAATCATTTGTATTTACCTGTACTATCCAGGCCAGATGCCTTGTTAGATGTTAGTTAGACGAACAGTTGGATGACGGGTTGTACAGAATCTGTTGAATGAAAACCACAACAGCGCTGGTGAGGGCAGGTGTCTCAGTCTCGCGGCCGCATCCTGCCCGCCGCAGGTGTCCGACTAGTTTCCTCGTGAAGACGTCGATCACAGCGGTGTAAACTCGTCTCAGATCGGTGATATCGTTGAACACCGCCGTCATATTGACTTTGAATTTCGCGGGGATTAGCCTTACAACGTAGCTGGCGTAGTGACGTCACCGCGCAAATGTCCAGCAATATCTCGATTTTAATCACTCCGAGTGAGTGATGTATCATTACTAAAGCAGTAGTAAAATACGACAGCAGACTTTTTACAAAGGCAGATTGCCATGAATCGATTTCAAATATAGGAAATATATTCAATAAAATAATTATGAAATCATATCATAAAAAACAAGGTCCACTGACAAAGTCACAGTATTTAATTGCAGGTATTTAATTTCAAGGCTGGCACGATGAATTCTCAAGCTGCACGGTCATCTCCCACCTGGTAAAGACTATTTTGTCGACTTGTGCAGGAGTGTCCGAGGCTGGGAGCCGTACGTTAGTTAGACGAACAGTTGGATGACGGGTTGTACAGAATCTGTTGAATGAAAACCACAACAGCGCTGGTGAGGGCAGGTGTCTCAGTCTCGCGGCCGCATCCTGCCCGCCGCAGGTGTCCGACTAGCGCCGCCCCCTCGCCGGGTACCGGTCGCCGGTCGGACCGTCAGCACCACACTTCAATATTAACCCCGAAGTTTAGTTTCTGACTCACCGATCAGTCGATTATTTGTACGTAAAATCCACCCGCCGCTGTTTCCTCGTGAAGACGTCGATCACAGCGGTGTAAACTCGTCTCAGATCGGTGATATCGTTGAACACCGCCGTCATATTGAATTTCGCGGGGATTAGCCTTACAACGTGGCTGGCGTAGTGACGTCACCGCGCAAATGTCCAGCAATATCTCGATTTTAATTGGTCCATGTGAAACGTAACGCAGATGATTACTTGTATAACTTGCAAAGGCACAGCAGAGTTGTAATTTTCGCCGTAACCCTGTGAGTGACTAATAATTGGCGCTATAAACACATAAAGTGTTCTCTTATAGTGTGAGGCACTTAAACAAACAGACCAAAAAAAATTGAATCGAAACCATATGTGCAAGTATTTACTCAGATACATCAGACATCTTTCCTCCAAGATTCACATGTTGCATGTAATATATTTCCACAAATACAAGTTGAAGTAGTCTGAAGGAAAGGATACGAATTCTTGAAAACAGCACATCGTTCAGTACAACATATTATCATTCTACACTGTGCACAGACCACAACTGATTTGAATAGCATTTAGTAATAAATAATTTTAAAAAATTGTAGCCAAATGTTTTTTAGTGATAGGGATTCTGTTTAGGTCTCAAACAGACAACCCTGGTCAAATGCTATTCTTGCATGGCCAGTTAACGATTCACTTCATTGAAGCTGCAATAAAACAAAGGAAAGAAGCGTGAACTTGCATGCAAAACCCTCAATTGTCCCCTTTTAAGTAAGAGGTGGATGGGGAACCTTACTGGACTCTGACAAAACGGCAAGAAAAGGACCACCAAGTAAATATCTTCAAAGAGGGGAGGGGGAGGGCATTTCAGACCAGAATATCACTGTGCACTTTTCATAGTTCTACCAAAACGTTTTGAAAAACCTGGTATGTACAATGCAATGAGCAGTTTTTAAACTCTTTGTGCTATATATTTTTATAGACACAGATAACATGAAAAAGCTCATCATTTTGCAACAGGGAAGTTGAATATCTTGTGCGGTCTTACGTAGATGATCAAATTTGAGCCAGTTTTCTCACGGAACCCAAATGGCTTCGAGTGCTCAGTGAACCAATTTCTCACAGAAAAACCAGCATCATAATAAATGTTAAAACATTATTTTTAAACCGTGTCAAGGAAGGCCCTATGTAAAGTGTCTTTGGATATCTAGAAAAGCCATATGTACAACGTATAATTATAAAGTATAATTTTTATTATTAATCCATTATGAGACTAACCCACCTTGACTCCTTGCTCCGTGGCCACCTGCTTCTTGTCCACCTCATCTGACTTGTTGGACTGGACAAACTGGACAATTACAACGGTTGTTTTAATATCTGACAACACACAATCCTTAAAGAGAACAAGAATCGCTGAAATTGCTAAAATTTGATTATTGAAAGCGTTGGCAACGAATTTCATTATCGATTCGTTGTGTCGGTTCAAAGAAAGACGCAGAATGCTTTTGTCTGCATATATTTCTATTTCTATTGCATCAATGTAATTTCATTTAATATTGCAC